ATGAGATATCACTTCATGTGCATTACAGTGGCTATTATCAAAACACCTGAAAATAACAAACGTTGGTGAGGATGCAGAGAAATTAGAACCCTTGTGCACTACTGGTAAGTAGGCAAAATGGTAAGACTGCTGTAGAAAACAGGATGACAATTTCTCAAAAAGTTAATAATAGAGTTACCACATGATAAACCAATTCCACTTATGGATACCAACTTAAAAGAATTAAAAGAAAGGACTCAAAGAGATATTTGGACACCTATATTTCTTAGCAGCATTCTTGACAATAGCCCCAAAGTGGAAGCAACACAAGTTGGATAAATGGATATACAAAATGTAGTACTTTATTCAGCCTTAAAAAGGAAGGACATTCTGACACTTGCTACAACATGGATGAACCTAGAATACATTATGTTAAATGAAAAATTCCAATCACAAAAAGACAACTACCGTGTGATTCCACTCTTATGTGGTACACAGCATAGTCAAATTCATAGAGACAGAGAGTAGAATGGTGGTTGCTAGGCACTGGGGAGAAGAGAGACTGAGGAGTTATTCTTCAATGGGTACAGAGCCAAGTGAACATGCTGGTCATAGCAAACACCTTTTCCAACAACAGAAGAGACGACTCTACACATGTACATCACCAGATGGTTAATATCAAAATCAGATTGATTATCTTCTTTGCAGCCGAGATGGAGGAGTTCTATATGTACTCAGTGAAAACAAGACCTGTAGCTGTCTGTGGCTCAGATCATGAGCTTTATTGCAAAATTCAATAGGAGAGAAGAAAGTAGGCAAAACCACTAGGCAGTTCTGGTATGAGTTAAATCAAATCCCTTATGACGAGTATAGAGTGGAGGTGATGGATAGATTTAAGGAACCAGATCTGGTACACAGACTGAAGAACTATGGATGATACTTCACAATGTTGTACCGGAGGCATCTCAAAGAAAAAGAAATGCAAGAAGGCAAAGTGATTGTCTGAGGAAGCTTTACAAATAGCTGAGGAAAGAAGAGAAGGAAAAGGCAAGGGGAAAAGGGAAAGATATACCCAACTGAATGCAGAGTTCCAGACAATAGCAAGAAGAGATAAGAAGGCTTTTTTAAATGAACAGTGCAAAGAAATAGAGGAAAACAATAGAAAGAGAAAGACTAGAGATCTCCTGAAGAAAATTGGAGCTATCAAGTGAACATTTCATGCAGGCATGGGTATAATAAAGGACAGAAAGAGTAAGGACCTAAGAGAAGCAGAAGAGATCAGAAGAAGAGTTGGCAAGAATACACAGAACTGTACAAGAAAGGTCTTAATGACCTGGATAACCATGATGGTGTGATCATTCACCTAGAACCAGACATGCTGGAGTGTGAAGTCAATTGGGCCTTAGGAAGCACAACTACAAGCAAAGCTAGTGGAGGTGATGGAATTCCAGCTGTGCTATTTCAAATCCTAAAAGATGATGTACTCAATATGTCAGCAAATTTGGAAAACTCAGCAGTGGCCACAGGACTGGAAAAGATCAGCTTTCATCCCAATCCCAAAGAAGGGCAATGCTAAAGAATATTCAAATTACTGCATAACTGTGCTCATTTCACACGCTAGCAAGTAGTAGCAGAGTGCTCAGTCATATCTGACTTTTGCAACCCTATTGACTATCGCCCACCAGGCTCCTCTCTTTGTGGAATTTTCCAGGCAAGAATATTGGAGTGGGTTGCCATTTTCTTCTCCAGGGGATCTTCTTGACCCAAGGATTGAACCCGTGTCTCCTGCATCTCCAGCATTGGCAGGTGAGTTCTTTACCACTGCCCCTCCTTGGAACAAGGTTATGCTCAAAATCCTTAAAGCTAGGCTTCAGCAGTATGTGAGCCAAGAACTTCCAGATGTAGAAACGGGGTTTAAAAAAGGCAGAGAAACCAGAGATCAAATTGCCAACATTTGTTGGATCATGGAGAGATCAAAGGAATTCCAGAAAAACATCTACTTCTTCGTTATTGACTATGCGAAAGCCTTTGACTGTGTAGATCACAACAAACTGGAAATTTTTTGAAGAGATGGGAATACCAGATCACCTTACCTGCCTCCTAAGAAACCTGTATGCAGACCAAGATGCAATAGTTAGAGCCGGATATAAAAAAGCTGACTGGTTCAAAACTGGGAGAGGAGTAGTCCAGGCTGTATATTGTCACCTTGCTTATTTAACTTACATGCTGAGTACATCGAGTGAAATGCTGGGCTGGATGAATCCCAAGCTGGAATCAAGACTGTCAGAAGAAATATCAACAATTTCAAACAGCAGATGATACCACCCGAATGGCAAAGTGAAGAGGAACTAAAGAGCCTCTTGATGAGGGTAAAAGAGGAGATTGAAAAAGCTGACTTGAAACTCAACATTCAAAAACAAAGATCATGGCATCCAGTCTCATCACTTCGTGGCTAATAGAAGGGGGAGAAGTGGAAGCAGTGACAGATTTTATTTTCTTGGGCTCCAAAATCACCGTGGATGGTGACTGCAGCCATGAAATCAAAAGACGCTTGCTCCTTGAAAGGAAGTGTTGTGTGTGTTAGTCTTTCAGTGGTGTCCAACTCTTTGCGATCCCATGGACTGTAGCTTGCCAGGTTCCTCTGTCCATGGAATTCTCCAGGCAAGAATACCGGAATGGGTATCCCTTCCCTTCTGCAGGGGATCATCCTGATCCAGGGATCAAACCTGTATCTTCCACATTGTTGGCAAATTCTTTACCATCTGAGCCACCATGGAGCTATGACAAACCTACAGCACATTCAAAAGCAGAGACATCACTTTGCCAACAAAGGTCCATCTAGTCAAAGCTATGGTTTTTCTAGTAGTCATGTAAGGATGTAAGAGTTGGACCATAAAGAAGGCTGAGTGCCACAAAATTGATGCTTTCAAACTGTGGTTCTGGAAAAGACTCTTTAGAGTTCCTTGGACTGCAAGGAGATCAAACTAGTCAATCCTAAAGGAAATCAACCCTGAATATTTATTGGAAGGACTGATGATGAAGCTGAAGCTCCAATATTTTGGCCACCTGATGAAAAGAGCTAACTCAATGGAAAAGACCCTAATGCTGGGAAAGATTGAAGGCAAAAGGAGAAGGGGGTGGCAGAGGATGAGATTGTTAGACAGCATCACCTACTCAATGGACATGAATTTGAGCAAACTCTGGGAGATAGTGAAGGACAGAGGAGCCTGGCTTGCTACGGTCCATGGGGTTGCAAAGAGTTGGACGTGACTTAAACAACAGCAAGTTTCTGTTTGAGAAGATGGAAAAGTAATCTGGATATAGATTGTATTGATGAAGCCACAACAATGTGAATGTACTTAATGCCACTACTAAACTAACCATACACTTAAAAAGGTCAAGATGGTAAATTTTATGTTATGTGTATTTTACTACACATTTTAATAAATGTAGTTGTTGTCTCCTTTGCCCTCTTTCCTTTGTTCCTCTTTCCTGCTGCTGGAATGCAGATGTGATGCCTGGAACTGGAGCAGTCTTCTTGGACTTCACATGTTGTACTTCGCACCACTCTAAAGGTACCATTTGGGCTTCCCCAGTGGCTTAGCAGGTAAAGAGTCCACCTGCACTGCAGGAGTCACAGGAAATGCAGGTTTGATCCCCGGGTGGGAAAAATCCCCTGGAGGCGGGCATGGCATCCCACTCCAGTATTCTTGCCTGGAGAATCCCATGGACAGAGGAGCCTGGCAGGCTATAGTCCATAGGGTTGCAAAGAGTCCGATATGACTGAAGCAACTTAGCACCCACGCATGCAGAACAGTACTATTTACATAGTATTTATACACTTTTACACAAGAGAGAAATATTCTTATTTAACTTATTTGATTACTATTACTTGTAAACAAACCTAATCCTAATTAATACAATATAATATGTCTATATATCTTATGACACCAGTATTCATAGGCAATAACCTTCAAAATTAGCAGAATACAGACTGTTACAATAAAATGAACAAATTCCAAATGTATGTCTAATTCTGAACAGCATACCATCTGGCAGGATAAAAAGGCAATATAGTAGTACAAAAATCCCATTTTTCAATTTATTTAGGAAATCACCTTATAGGGACAAACATTGTCAAACTATGAAATGATTCATAATGGATAACCAAAACAATTTTTCTGCAAATGCTATGCAATTGTTGAAAAGAACAAAGAAGGTGTATGTAGAAGCAAAAGTTAGAATCAAAAAGTTATATTGCTTTCCATTTATGTAGGAAAAAAAAACTGACCTGTGTGCTTACATATGTAGGAAAAAGACATAAAAATAGCTAATATATGCAAAACACACACACTACATGCTAGCCTTTGTCCTAAAACCTTTGCCTAGATCATACCTACACATTATCTAAACATGCCTGTGAGGTGTAGAACTTTATTGTTCCTGTTTTGCAATTGAGGAAATTGAGGCACAGACAGGCAACATTCCTTGTCCAAGGTGACACAAATAGTAAACGTCAGAGCCAGAATATTAAACATGTCTGCCTCTTCTGAAGGTTGATGGTAATGGGGAACTGTAGTGAAGGTAATGATCATACTCTTCTATTCAGTTTGACTTTTTTATTATGACTATATATTATGCTTTTAATAAATACTTGGTGATGGGGAGAAAAATGCTTAAGAAATATAAGGTAATAAAGCCATGGTTATCCCCCAGAGAGTTAAATGGTGCTGAATTCAGAAAACATATTTAGGATAGCAACAGAGAAAAAAAGAAGTAATAAATAGAAACTTTTAAAGTGTATTATATGTCAAAAGTCAGGATGATATCTCTTAATACATTTAGTCAAGCAGATAGTATTGTGCAGTGCAACATCTATTAAATAATACTTGGACACTGAACACAGCCAGCCACTATAAAAAAAAAACATTTAATAACTTGCCTAGAAGACACAAAAGAATAAAAAGGAAAAATTGGATTAATGATACAGAATTAAAATATCAGATTAAATAAAGAAAAATATGTGCACAATGCACCATGGTACCACACGCTGTTGTAAGAACTGTGTCTACCCAACTGTAGGGAATTGTAGCAGAGTCTATAGTGCTCCGGCCTTCTGTTGTGTTCTAGCCAACTTTTACTCTCAGTGTCTGAAACTGCCCTTGAGGACTCCATTCCTCCACTCCCCACCTCACCCCAGAACCACAGAAAGCCCCAGCCCTTCCTTCCAGCAGGCCAAGGGATATCAACACTCCCACACCCATCCTAATAGCCCTCATCCAATAACTCATCTTAGCAGTTGGTATATAAAGACTACAGCTTGCTTCCCCTGCAGTTGGGGTAATTCTGAGGAGTGTTTTGAACTCTTTCCCAGAGTTCTTCCACTGAATTAAGCTTCAGCCATCCACTGGAGTAGCTGGCTACTAATGTACCCTTTATTAGCTATCTTCCTTTTTCCTGGTGTCACTTCCCCACCTTCCTGCCCTATTGTTTTTTCCACTTTCCAAATAAATTCTCACTCTGAAATCTGTCTGAGGGTCTACTTTCAGGAGAACCCAAATTATGACAGGAGGCTTCATTCATATTGCAGTCTCTATGAATAGCAGCCCCTGGAAGTGTCCATGGCTCAACCTGTGAAACCATCCAAGGCAGCTCTGTAAATATATTAACATCTTCATTTCCACAGCAATAAGAACAAGAAAGAAGATAAAAAGATGCCATGTTTTAGTTATGAGGGCTTCCTTAGTGGCTCAGCTGGCAAAGAATCTGCCTGCAATATGCGAGGCCTGGGTTCAATTCCTGGGTTGGGACGATCCCCTGGAGAAGGGAAAGGCTGCCCACTCCAGTATTCTGGCCTGGAGAATTCCATGGAACGTATAGTCCTTGGGGTCGCAAAGAGTCAGACACAACTGAACGACTTTCACTTCATAAATGCAAGTCACTGTTTTAAACTGAAAGTTTTAAAAGAATAAGGAATCATAATAAAGGAAAAAGAATCCACTAGAAACTCAGGAGGAACACAGTGTGACAGGGCACATTTAATAGAGTATATCTTGCCCCACTCATTTTAACATTTTGTATCAAGTGCAGTATTTATTGAGCACCTATTTGTAACTATGCATCTGGCACTATAATGTGAGTATTTAACTTGGCCAAATTCTTGAGTTCATCTATGGAATGAGGACAGAAAGAAACAAACAAAAAGCACTTAAACAGTTAAATCCTATGTGAGTCTTAACTTTACCAAAACCACTTTGTTCATCAGAGGGAAATGTGAGTGATGGAGCATCACAGTTCAGTTCAGTTCAGTTCATTTCAGTTCAGTCGCTCAGTCGTGTCCGACTATCTGTGACCCCATGAACCACAGCATGCCAGGCTTCCCTGTCCATCACCAACTGCCGGAGTCCACCCAAACCCATGCCCATTGAGTCGGTGATGCCATCCATCAATCTCATCCTCTGTTGTCCCCTTCTCCTCCTGCCCTCAATCCTTCCCAGCATCAGGGTCTTTTCCAATGAGTCAGCTCTTCGCATCAGGTAGCCAAAGTATTGGAGTTTCAGCTTCCACATCAGTCCTTTCAATGAACACCCAGAACTGATCTCCTTTAGGGTGGACTGGTTGGATCTCCTTGCAGTCCAAGGGACTCTCAACAGTCTTCTCCAACACCACAGTTCAAAAGCATCAATTCTTTGGCGCTCAGCTTTCTTTATAGTCCAACTCTCACATCCATACATGGCTACTGTGGCCTGCCCTATATATGTCACCATAAAAAATATAGAAATCTCTGAGACTCAGATGTCATAGTAAGGACTCTGATGTTTTAATTTTTTGAAAGAATTGCTCCAAATATAGTAAATAAAGTCAATCAATAATTAAGTTTAAAAGAAGCATACTGGAGACATGTAAAGCAAATAAAAAGGAAAAAGCCTCTATCAGAGACCTGCTGATTTAGGTATTTAACAAATAAGTGAGCACTTACTCCACATGCAGTATTGGGAGGGATGGCTCACAGTTTGTAGAGAATATAAAACCCAAAACCATATGTTCCCTATCTTAAAACTAACTCAGAATTCATGCTATTTTTCTTAGGAATAATACCATCATAAAGCCTCTTTCTTAGAAATTATGCAAGCCAGATCAGCATGCCAAATTCTTACTTTTAAGAGAAATCAGTTGCTAACAGATACTCCTCATGTGCGTAGAAAATTAAATGTGAAAATCAAATCAAATAGTGTATTTATGTGTATTTTTAGATCTCCATAGATTTTTAAAGAAAGGAATTGCATTTCATCAGATACATTTTGTATATCGGTGTGCCTTTCCCCTTTTTAATCCATAGATCTAACGTGAGGACCTACTTCATACTTACATCATCAGTGATGAAGATGAAAGTCAAAGTCAAGTTCATGTTATTAGTTTGTGATATTGGGCTATTAAATGGTCATTTTCAGTGACTTTCCTCCACTTCTCCTGAGTCTGTGAAAAAGAAGGAAAGAACATGCTACATGGCAGCAGATTTTGGGGCTGTGTAGTAGTGTATGTGCTCCAGCAAGATAGCAAGTCATAGCTATGACGGAATCCATCAATTGCCAAGCCAATGGTAAGAAAAGAGCCAGAGATGTAATTAAAAGATCATGATGAAGATGAAGATGTAGAGTGTCTTATAATAAATTCTAAATTTGTGTGTGTGTACATGTGTAAACTTCATACTTCTATGTTCATTTTTATTGCATTTTAATTTTTATGAAAATAGTGTGTATTAGAACTCAGCTCTTTTTGAGTGTCTTGGGGCGGCTTTATTTTGCTGTGTTTTATACAAAATGCTACTTTTAAACTATTCAACAAGGCAAGGCACATAATTCAGTTCAGTTCAGTCGCTCAGTCGTGTCCGACTCTTTGTGACCCCATGGATTGCAGCACGCCAGGCTTCCCTGTCCATCACCAACTCTGGAGCTTGCTCAAACTCATGTCCATCCAGTCAGTGATGCCATCCAACCATCTCATCCTCTGTTATAATAATGTTATAAATAATGTATAAATAATGTTATAAGGCACATATATAAACTCCAAAAATTGATATTTATTGAACATTTACTTAAGTTTGTATGTAAAGCTCTATGCATTAAAATTCTGTTTAAACTAAAATCAAACACTACTGTGGATTTATACTTTAAGTAGACCTAAATAATATATGCATAAATTTAATGTGCATATAAGAAAACATATTCAACAATTATATAAAGGCCTGGAAGGGAAAAATGGAAACTATACTGTTGTGATCTTTTCAATTATTCTCAGAGGAATAAGAAATAATCCTAACGATATTGTATCAAATCTGAAAAATCCTAACTTTGGAAAACCTCTACTTGGCATTGACCTTTTAAAGTCAAGAAGGATATTTATGATAAGACCCGAAATATACCTGAAATGTATCCTATTAAGATGAAAAGAAAAAGGATTAAAATGGTATTGTAGGACCCACCAACCTCCAATTCTGGCTCACATTTTATTAATAGCTACACAAACTAGGAATTAATCTTACATGTTAAGCACACACACAAACACACACACAAAGGCTTTAGGAAAGGAACATGTCTGTGTCCCAAAGTTCTTACTATTTTTCAACTGAAAAATATGACACTGCCTTTGTCAACATAGAAGAGGAAGATAGCTCCTTGCCACTATCATGTCCTTAAATAAAAGAACCTGAATTGATCAACAGTGTTGGGTTTGAGTCCAGGCTGCCAGGATGGACATCTAGTTTCACACGATGGGAATAAAATACGTAACCATCTCTTAGTCCAATTTTCTCATCTGTATAGCGGTGATAATTTCCGTACTTCCTTCATAGGGCTATTGTGATGGTTAAATGAGAAGATTACTGTAAAATCCTCAATACAGTGCCCAGCACATAGTAAGTGTGCAATAAATATGAGTTTGGTTACAATGTTTGTTTTACAGAAGGGCAGATTTGATGGAACAATAAAAACATCACTTTGATGTAGAAGAAGAGTTTATTAGAGAAATACCCATGTCCTAAACAGAGTCAGTGGTGATAGAGCTTTCAGTCACAGTTTTCAACTTTATTATTTTATGTCTTGCTAAGCCCTTCAACCAAAACTTGAAGAGGAAGAGAAAAGAAAGGGAAAGCAAAGTCAGTAGTAAAACCAGTACTGTGCACACTTCATCCTCTCCTTACAACTACACCTTGTAGGGAAAGGCAAAGAACTTTGTACAGTTTTTAGGCAACCCTTCTGTCATCAGTTGTATTCTGATACAGCTTCCCTGGGGGCTCAGATGGCAAAGAATCTGTCTGCAATACCTTGATAGGGAAGATCCCCGGAGTAGGATATGGCAACTCCCTCCAGTATTCTTGCCTGCAGAATTCCACGGACAGAGGTCCCTGGAAGGCTACAGGCCATGGAGTTGTGAAGAGTCGGACACGGCTGAGTGACTGACACTACTACTGCTACTTACTCTTAGTAATCCATAAACTTTGAAGTGGAGTAAGTAGGGGTAGACTCTAATGTGAATCAAATCAAAAGGATCCAGAGGCTTCCCTGGTGGCTCGGTGGTAAAGAATCCACCTGCCAATGCAGGATCCCTGATCTAGAAGATCCCATATGCCGAGCAGCAAATAAGCCTGTGTGCCACAACTATTGAGCCCTCATACCCTAGAACCCCATACTCCGCAACAAGAAAAGCCACAGCAATGAGAAGCCCACACACTGCAACTAGAGACTAGCTCCTGCTCGCTGCAACGAGAGAAAAGCCAGCACAGCAATGAAGACCCAGCACAGTCAAAAATAAATACATTAATAAGTAAAATCATTTTAAAAAACCCATTATAGATTTTCTCTCCAGAAAAGTGCACAAGAAGTATGCACCAAAACGTTCACATCAGTTCAACTGCTCAGTTGTGTCCGACCCTTTGCGACCCCATGAACCACAGCACGCCAGGCCTCCCTGTCCATCACCAACTCCCAGAGTCCACCCAAAGCCATGTCCAGTGAGTCAGTGATGCCGTCCAACCATCTCATTCTCTGTCGTCCCCTTCTCCTCCTTCCCTCAATCTTTCTCAGCATCAGGGTCTTTTCCAACGAGTCAGCTCTTCGCATGAGGTGGCCAAAGTATTGGAGTTTCAGCTTCAAAATCAGTCCTTCCAATGAATACCCAGGACTGATCTCCTTTAGGATGGACTGGCTGGATCTCCTTGCAGTCCAAGGAACTCTCAAGAGTCTTCTCCAACACCACAGTTCAAAAGCATCAATTCTTCGGCACATACAGTTAATTTTATTGTATTGAATGTTGATTTTCCTTATATAGCAAATATTTAAAAAATCTTGACGAAGATTTAGGTCTTCCTTGTTTTTCACACAAGAATTAGCAATTT